CTTAACCATCTGAGCCACCCAGGCGCCTCCATCACCATTTGTTGAAAAGTCTATCTTTCCTCCATTGAATTGCTTTTGCACTTTTTGTCAAAAATCAGTTGCACATATTTGTGTGGGTCTATATCTGAGGTCTCCATTCTGTTCCATTAATCTATGTGTCTATCCCTCCAACAATACCACACAGTCTTGATTACTCTAGCAATGTAATAAGTCTGGAAATCAGGTAGACTGATTCATCCCATTTTATTCTTCTTTTTCAAACTTGTTTTAGCTATTAGTTTTTACACCTTTCCATATAAATTTTAGAATAATCTTGTATACATCTACCAAAAAATCTTGCGTAGGTTTTAGTAAAAATTGCATTAAAATTGTATGCTGTATATCAACTTAGGGACAGTTGACATCTTTGTGATGCTGAGTCTTCCAGCTCATGAACCTAGTATGTTCCTCCATTTATTTGACTTCTTTCTTAAGTGTGTTGTTTGGTTTCCAGATGTTTGTTAATTTTCCCTTTATTTTTCTTTTATTGATTTTCTAGTTTGATTCCATCATAGTCAGAGAACAAACTCTGATGGTTTCAATTTTTTTAAACGTGCTGCAATTTGTTTTACGGCCCAGGATATGGCCAGGATATGTTCCATGAGCACTTGAAAAGAGTATATATTCTAATGTTGTTGGGTCACCGTTCTATAAATGTCAATCTGATCCTATTGGTCAATGGTGTTGTTGAGTTCTTCTACCTCCTTGCTGATTTTCTATCAACTGTCCTATCGATCGTTGAGAGGACTGTTGATGTCTCCAGCTATAATTATGATTTGTCTGTTTCTCCTTTCAGTTCAATCAACTTTTACTTTGCGTATTTCATAGCTCTATTGTTGGGAGTTTTCTTAGGGGTTGACTTTTTATCATTATATAATATTCTAATCTGTCTCCTACTGCCCGGCAATGGTTCTGACTCTCCACCAGGACTCCTCTGACACCACCCCCTTGGGGGTGGGAGAATGTGCCTCCTTACTAGTAAATGGAGGTGAAGTGTAGGCCCCTGACTTGGCCTTCTGTGACACAACCCGAGCAGGGTGTTGAGGTCTCTCCAGGTTAGAAGTCTAGGCTCCCCACTTAGCCTTTGTTGGCATGAGTAGGGATAGGGCCACAGTTTTGTCTAGTGTTTGGCAGTTTTTGTTGAGAAGATTTCTGTCTTGCTATGTTGCTCCTCTCCTGGCCCAATATTGGCTAGAGAGAGCAGACTTTTGTGGGAGCTTTTCTGTATGTACCCATTGGCAATTTCTGGGCTTCCAGCTTCTTTATAGCTCCCTATTTGGGAAATATGAGGCAAGAAGAAATCCCAAGGAAATCACTGATATGTTCAGCTCTCAAGGTCCCTAGCTGGTCCGCCTTCTTCTCCCCTTTCAGAGTCTTCTTTTGTTTCTTTTATATATAATGACCAGGGGTTTTAGTTGTAGTTTGCAGGAAAGGTAGGGGAAAGTACAGCCACTGTAATTTATTTTTTAATGATGGCTGTGTTTAACAACCAGCTCACAAGTCCCTGAAATTTTAACAACGGAGTCTTGTAAACTGGCTTCAATACACCAGTGTCATGAGTCTCAGAGGAAATCAGAGCCCATCTCCCACCACAGAAGCCTGAAATGCCATCTCTTCTCATTCCAAGCCTTCCCCGCAGTGCGGACACAGGCATGTGAGGTCAGCTTGGAGAGTCAGCAGCAGCCACCCGGGACCGTGGGCCAAGCGCTGGCCATGCAGGGAAGTGGGGAAATGGGGAATCCTTCCGGTGGGCAGTCCAGGAACAGCTCTGTGGCAGCAATATCAGGTAAGGCATCCACCATCAGGGGCTCAAACTGTGGCAACTCATGCTCAGTCGTGGCCACGGCATTCTCACCCAACATTTTTTTAAGCTTATTTATTTATTTATTCATTTATTTTTAAGTAATCTCTACACCCAGCGTGGGGCTCGAACTCAAAACCTAGAGGAGTCACATGCTCTTCGGACTGAGCCAGCCAGGTGCCCCTCACCCAACTTTTTCTAGGGCGTGTCCTTGACAGCGGCTGTGGCCAATATTGCATCTGAGTTGGGTTCTCCTACCTTCCCAGTGGCTCTGAGTGGCTTTCGACAGCTGTTTCTGCTTAAATTGGCTGGAACTTGCTTCTTTGAGGTCCATACGAGCATTTTGATTGATGCACATTCACTGGCCCTGGGCTGCAAACACCCCTGGAAGACAAAAACCTCGGCCTCTCCCACGAACACCTCCTGCCCAGGGGAAATCACTTGAGGAATAACTTACACCCAAGAGAGCAGGGCTCTCTAGAAGGGCTTTCTGAGGGGGCGGCGAGGGGCCCAAGGCCACCCAGACCTCCCCCGCTGCGTTGCCAAACACCTTGGTCAGCGACTCTGACCCTGCACACGGTACTTACTTAGTGTCTCACTTAGTGTCTCCCTGCGACCTGAGCAATTTGGCATTGGGTGGGATAAACTAACTAGCCTGACCCTGGGAACGAGACAATCCTGATGACCCTGAAATCTTATTTCCCTTTCTCCAGTTCCACTCACCCTGCTCCCTTCGGCATCACTGAAGACTCACTCACTGCTTAGAGGAGTTTTTTATTCCTTGAAGGTAGCTCTGGTGCACAGAAAAGACCATGCATAGCTCTACTTGGGTCTTGAAAATTAGTATTTGATTTATTGAAAATAGAGATTCAGAAATGCATTGCCCTTCCTTCAGCTTTCAAAATCAGCTTAGGAAGCTTATTATCCTATTTATAAGTCTAACAAATATTAACAATCACTCTGAGAGGGATTTTGATTAATGTTTGGTCCCATTTATACACTTAGTTAATTAAACCTCTTTAACATTTTAAGCAGCATTTATAAATTTAATATATTCCATTCCTCTTCAAGTACTTTATCTGACTGACAAGCCTTCCCAAGTACTAAAGTGACTCTCATAAGATTTAATAAATTAAGCATGCAAAAACAGTCAAGCTTATATTCTCTTAAATTGTCAAACTATATGTAAACTTAGAAAGGTTTCAACTTAGGGGCACCTGGGTGGCTCAGTCGGTTGGGCGTCCTGACTCTGGATTTTGGCTCAGGTCCTGATCTTGGGGTCCTGGGATGGGGCCCCCGTCGGGCTCCACACTCAGTGGGGAGTCTGCTTAAGATTCTCCCTTTCCCTCTTCCTCAGCTCCTCCCACCGCTTGCACTCTCTGTCTCCAAAATAAATAAATCTTTAAAAAATAAAATAAAATCACGTGTACATGAAGTATCCTTGCTGCAGGCTGAATGTTACTGTCCCCCAAAATTCATACATTGAAATCCTAGCCCCCAGTGTGAAGGTATTTAGGAGGTGGAGCCTTTGGGACATGATCAGGTCATGAGGGCAGAGTCCCTAGAAATGGGATTAGTGCCCTTCTAAGTGACCCCAGAGAGCTCTCCCACACCCTTTCTGCCCTATGAGGACACACTATGAGGACAGGCAGTTATCTAGGAACCAGGACCTGGGCTCTCACAGACGCCAAATCTGTAGCAACTTGATCTTGGACTTCTCGGCCTCCAGAACCGTAATACATTTCTGTTGTTTATAAGCCACCCGGTCTGTGGCATTCCGTTATAGCCGCCCAAACAGGCTAGGACAATAACATGTGCACAAATTCCTTTCACTTGAAAATATTATAACCACAGTTTTCATTCCCTTAAACATTTCTGTTGCTGAATTTTGTATTTTCCCTGGACTACTAAAATGTCTATCTATAACAGAGATAATTTCCTTCTTTTAACTAAGGTTGTTCATCAATGAGAACTTTTGGGTAGATGCTGACTGGATCCTCACTGGTGACCCTATGGACCAGTCAAGCCCTATTTCCAGTCTTTAACTTCCTAACTTAAAGATGGGGACAGCCAAGGAGACCACCCCCTTAGAGACTGGTGACTGATTACTAGTTTTCAAACCAGAGTCCAGTCCGTAACCCCCATCCAGGGCCCACACCTGATTTTGCATTTATTTGACCCTTAAAGAATGTAACTATAAATTTTCCCATCCAACTCTAAAGAATCTTGTATTCTAGGAGTGCCTGGCTGGCTCAGTCAATGGAGCATACGACTCTTGATCTCAGGGTTGTAAGTTCGAGGCCCACGGTGGGTGTAGAGACTACTTAAAAAATAAAATCTTTAAAAAAAAAAAAAAGGAAAGAAAGAAAGAATCCTGCATTCTTTTCATATGCTTTTTATGCCTTGGGACTGCACAATCCTCATGGATATTAAACTTTCATCTAATTGCATTCCAGTTATCTCTCAGAGCTCTGTCTGATTATTCAGCCGTGACTCCCAAAGTCATTCTCCAAGATCATCATTCAGCCCAGCTCCTTACCCTACCTCACACCCTGTGCTCCCTGAGTTTGTAATTCCCCTGGGAATGGAAAAGCGGACTCCCCCAGGATCTACTTTCCTGGCAAGGCTAACGAAAATGCTCTTAAGCTTAGTAACTTTGCCCAGTGGTTGTCTGGGGGGTTACCATGGCCTACAGCCTCCTGCTTCCCACCCCTCCTGAGGCAGCCACTGCAGTAGTCAAGGTCTGTTGGAAGAACGGTTCCACAGAAGAGACACTGGAGCCAAATCCCTAATCTCCCAGAAGGATAAGGGGACATAACCCAAGTCATCACCTAATGCCTGAGCCGAGCTAGAACCCAGGACTCCCAACTCCCAGCCTCATGCTCTGGCCACGGAAACCCAATGCCCCCCAACAATAGCAAGGCCAGGAGAGCCAGGAAGGGCCTCACAGATCACAGCCCCCAACCAATCAGCCCAAACATTAAAATACGCTACACACTGCCTTCCAGGTGCTTGGTAAACAGAACAGAAATAGGCATGGTCCTGCCCTTTCTAAAATAAATAAACATATCATGTATTCGTCTTTCCACGCTAAAGAGAAGCAATAATGAGAAATGACTTTCAGCTATAATGGGCATGGGGGTGGTGAGGGCTGGGCCTCAGAGAGCAGAAGCTGGAGGAGAGAAAACAGAGCCTGAGGGCAGCCTCCAGGGGTCCTGGCATTGGTGCAAGCTCTTACAAAGAAGCCCTGTATCCGATGGGCCCTCCACAACCAGCAGGAAGAAGATGCTCGGGTCCCTCGGTCATTAGCATTTTGGAGAACCACAGGTGGAGCACGAAAGGGACGGCTAAGCTGGAACATGAAGCTTCCTGCAGACTCGAGCCCCAGGGCCATCTCTCTGGGGCTCCCCGTCCAGCCCCCATTTGGCTCCTACACCTGCTGGGGCCCCCGATGGCACTTTCCTACCCGCCACTGTCTGCTCATCAGCATGGTATGCAGGATCCCCAACATCTCCCCCTCCAGCTGGCTCAGAGAGAAACCCACGATGCCTCTTTGGACCTTGAGGATATCATCATAAATGGACACCAAGAAAGTGACAACTATACATGAAACTAACAAACATGAGAACGAAAATATTGTCAGAATTTTTTTTAACAGTTCTCCTGGTGTCACCCTTGGCCTTCGCTGGATCCTAAATGGGGCAGAATCCTTGCCCTCTTGGCCCTTCTTTCTCTGTCACCTGCTCACCCGAAGCCCTCCATGCACCCTGTGACCAGGCACTGTTTGCTGGTGTTGGGAGGGGCACAAAAAAGGTTCAGGCTGCGTCTCTGCCCATTTTATGGCCCAGAGGGAAGACAGACAAACACGAGCCACAGAGGTGCAGTGGGAGAGGTGCCGTGGTCAGCGCGCCAAGGGAGCCTCAGTTCAAAGTCTCCTGGACATGCTCCTCAATGCCTTCTCCTCAACACTGTCGTCCCGCAGCCTCCAGACCTGCTCTCTCTCCAACTGGACCACCTCCTCTCTGTCCCCCACCTCCCATGATCCTGGCAGCCCTGTCCCAAGAGCTCCCTGCCACTCCTCCAGGCACCCCCCCCCAGATCCAAGCAGGACCCCCACCCCCACCCCCGGAGAACATCTCAAAGGCTGTCTGCTTGGTCAGCACCTGACAAAGCATTGTTCAGTAAAAAGAAACATTTCTAACTAGATTAAAAATAATCCCAGCAGAGGTCTCAAGTATGAAATCTTCCTTCCAAAACATAAACCCTACAGATATTGGCGTTTGCTCCTTGCACAAGTGGGGAACTACACGACCCATCAAGTCCTCTCTCTCAGACAGTTATATAATTCATTTATCTGGAAACCAAACGCCTCACTTTGGGTTTCCCGTTTGCCACACCGGATTCAATCCACCGTTCAGTGCTTACCCAGAACCTGCTTTACTGTTTTCAGCAGTAGCTTCGTCATTCGCTGTACGGGGAGCGCTCAGCACAAGGGTCCTTGAGTTCTGCTTTGCCTTTCCATTGCTACTCAGAATCCCCTTTAGAAGCTCTAAGTGTCAACAGGCATGATCATTATTTGAGTCACCTGATACAAGAAGAGAGGTCACACAGGCTGCCAAATGGGACACATTATTGCCAGGTTCTATGCCCTGAAGGAGGGGCTCAGGGCAGTTCAAGCAGATGGTCTCTGAGCCCTGACAGCCAGAAGCTTTCACGAGGGCATAGACATCTTGAGTGAGCTGAATCCTCAGCACGGAACGAGGACATGCCAGCCACCCTCTCTGCTCAAAGAATGAGCAGAGAAAATAAAAGAATGAGTTAGCACTTCGCTGGACCTGACGTGGGCTTGAACTTGTCCGAGAATGAAAGCTTTGGGCAGCTACCCAGGATGTGACCATAATCCCACGCAGAAAGCTGCAAGGGAAGGGTAACAGGGCAATGGGCCCACAGCTCTCCTTATTAGAAGGGTCCTGTCCCACCTTGCACGTGCCCACTCGCCAAGCTGCTTCCAGTCCAAAGCAGGCAGCAGTGGGGCCTGTCATTCAAAATACCTCTAACCCCATCAGAGTCCCCCAGAGCTGTGCCACCAGATGGGGCCAGATGGGGCTCCCCTCTGTGGTTCCCTCTCCTTCCCTTGGAAGGAGACATCCTCAGTCAAGCTGCCCAATGCCCCCGGAGGATGAGGTTAGAGGGTCAGTAAAGAGAAAGTCAGAGGAAACACAGAGGCTGTGAAGGATTCAGGACCAACTCAAATGTCCCCCAATGAAATGAACCCTAATCATCCAGGCCCCAAGCCAAGCCAGCTGCCTTTCTATGGGTTTGCCACTGTTCCATCATCCCTTGTCTTTCTCTCTTCCACACCTAACCTGGCCACCACTGTCACTCCTTCCTCTGCCTCCCTCAAGGCCCCTTCCCTGGCAAACTTCCGGGTTGCTGCAACCTCCTCAGGCCTCTCAGAGCCTCCACAGGCTACTGTTCAGAGGCCTCGGTGCCTAGTTTTACTGAAAGCCACCCTGACATGCCAGCCAGAACCAAGACACATTCCTTTAGAAAAGCCCGCACCCTCTGATTTTTCATTTTCTAGTTGAGGAACACCCCCAATTCTCAGCTACTTGCCAGAGATGACTAACATAATCTGTGTCCAATGAAGAGCCAAGCTTTCCTGGCCCAGGTCATCACTTCCCCTCAGGGGCTCAGGAAGGAGCTGGCTCTGTTCTGTGGGCTCCCGGCATCCCCCAGACCAAATGGGGAAACCCATCCCCCACCAAGGCTACCTGATCAGGGCTCGGGAAAGAAACAGAGTCCTGCGTACAAAGCCTCTCAGCCAAGGCCATCCAAGTGCGTGGCCCTTGCCATCTCGTTTATCATCTGCTCTGCACTGGTCTGTGTTCTAGGTTTTTGCGTTTCACCTTGACTTTGCTCCTGGCACAGTTCCTCTGAAATTCCACCTGGACTTGGCCAATGTAAAGGAAAAGGGATTTTGTCTTCACATAGGCCCAGGGAGCCAAAGGCCAGATGAAGTTAGAGGCCATCGTGTTGCCAGAGACCAAAGGGGCCGACAGGAATGAAATGCTCACACCTGAATGACAATCTGGGACATCTAGAAAGGCGTATCTCTTCCCTATGAACACAACAAACAGCCTCGCAGGGGTCTGTCCCCTCTCTGCTGACCAGCTTCAGAGCACTAGCTGTTGGCCTGAACCCGGGGAAGAAACTGGGAAATGGTAAGAAGCAGGGCCAGCTAAAGTGGGGCTGAGGGATCCCGGCTCTGGATGCTCAGAGCCACCCGGGGCTGTGCAACTCCACGGAACCTCTCTGTAACCACCCCCCACGCCGTGTCTCCCAGGGAGGTACGGAAGTTGCTTGAATGGGGTCTCTGACCAAGAGATCCAGTGGGTCCACCAGATGGCAGTGCTACTCCTGCCCGGAGGGGACAGAGCCTGCAGTGTGCGAGAGTGGCCACCAGAGGGCAACACAGGGACAACCGGCTTCACTTCGCCACTGGTTGCCTAGCAACTGTGACGCCGTTGGCTCCCAGTTTGCACCCTCTTCAAGGCCTCCCAGGTTATTTCTGGCAGAACAGACTGTTGCACAGGGAGTGGCCTCAGGAATCCCCAAACTGCCACTCTTAAACCGTGAGAATCTAAAATGGTCCAGGGACCCCAAATCCAGCGCCACCCCGGCGTCTAGGGGACTGGGCTACTGTACCCTGCTCCTCAGAATGCCAGGGATCAAGAAAATGTTTTCCATTTCCTTCTATAGCCCCACAGCCACTGGGGACACTCTGATTTCTCTAATGGCTAAAGCGAAGCCACCTCGTCCCTCACCCCTCCCCCACAATCTCCCTTCCAAGCAGAGGCCAGATTAGCAGTATGTGACCTTGAGCCAGACCTTGAGGCTCCTGCTCCCCAGCTGTACTTGCGAGGGCTCCAGGGGGTGATGATAACGTCCAGCTCTGACCTTCTGTAGTCTTGATTCTCTCCCTTTCCCCCAAGAATTCTGTCCTTGCCTCAAACCTCTCCCTGGTTTTGATGGCCCTGAAAACAGAATTCTTCCAATTCCAGTTGGATAAGCATGACCGGACAGACCAGGAGTGGAACCAAGAAAGTGAGGCAGACACAAGACAAGGAGTGTGGTTATAATGAGCTCAAAGCCTGTGCCGGTCTGGTCTGTGAAAGGGCCTGGGTGAGCCCAGGTCAGTGCCCAGGGCAGAGTCAGCGGGCCACTCTGGCCGTGGCGTGAGTGGCTCCAGGCACGTCTCTGGGTTGGGAGGCGCCCACTGGCCCCGGGGCTGGGCTCTGCCTGGGGCCCAGGTGTGGATCACTAAGGTGTCAGGGTCTCTGAGGGGCACCACGGTAGAGGGTCACACAGGCATGTGCAGCTCGTTGTACTCATCCTGGCCGTCCTCGTCAAAGTTAGGCTCAGCATCTTCCGAGTCCAGCTGCAGAAAGGAGAAGGTCGGGAGGGGCGGGGAGGGGGGCACTTGACCAACAGTTCCCCCCAGCAACTCCTCCAGCCCCGCAGCCCAGACCTTCTCAGGCCTCACTGTCTGCAGGGACCATCAGGGACTGCGGCCCGAAGCCCTTCCCTCCAGCCAAACTAGCAGGGGGCACAGCAGAGACTGCAACCCAGGCCTCCCTGATTCCAGGGCCCCTCCGGCCGAACATGGCCCCGAGCAGCATCCCTTACCGCCTGCAGCTCCCTGTCCTGGAAGAGCCGAGGCAGAAGGCAGCGCCTCAGAGGCACCGTGAGCAGCAACAGGAAGGGAAACGCGAGTGAGGCCGCTGTGGACTTGACCACCCAGAGCAGGGCGATGCAGCTCAGCTGGATGCAGGTGAACAGGTGCATCCGCCACGTCTTCACCTGGGGAGTGGGCCTCAAGTCTCACGGCACAGCGCCCGGCCTGCTGTACCCCCCCCTCAACATCTTCGGGGACGGAGCTCCCCGGGTCCCCAGACTTCCCCTCCACAGTCACTCTGTCCATCTCCCATCCCGGCATCCCTCGCACCCCCTCCCGATCACCCCATCTCCCCACCGCCATGCTGCCCGGCCCTACCTTGGTCACATAGGGCTGCTCGGGATGGTGTTTTGCCGGCATGAGGATAAGCAACAGACGCTGGGACAGCTGGATACCCGACAGTGACGTGACCCCCATGTACAGGAAAATCCCAAAGAGCACGGCCAACGGGATCCGGCGCAGCACCGCCCCCATGACGATGGACAGGCCTGGAGGAGGTGACACGGAACTACCTGACCCCTCGGACAGCCCCCATGAGGATGGACGGGCCTGGTGGAGAGGGGACCAGCTGGGCCTCATCACTACACGCGAGAGGAGAAGGAGCCGGACAGAGGACCCGGAAAGGGCTCAGGGTAAAAAGGCTCAGAGTGTCTCAAGGCAGGCTGGGGTGAGAGCGGGTGCTAGACATGATGCATCTGGTGACCCAGACGGGACCTGAGGCAAGCCTGGGATAGAGCGCGGACTAAAGGCCACAGGGCCCAAGGAGGCAGGTCTGTGGAGCGGGGGCTGGGGCCTTGCAAGGTGGGTGCTCTCACCCACGAGGCTGGCGATGAGCACTCCAGTGACCCGCTGCTCCCGCACCTCCTGGATCTGGGGCTTGTCGCCGGGTGCGATGGCAGTGCGCATAACCGTCAGGGCGTTCACGTGAGTGACCGAGCGGACAGTGGCGGCTGTGAGCCAGGGCAACCCAAACAGCCCGCAGAGCCCACCCAGGGAGCCAATCAGCAGCAGGTCCAGGTGGAAGCCGGAGCCCTTGAGCAGCCTCCGGGCCTTCTGGCTGACGATGAGCCTGCAGGACGGGAAGCAGGGCTGAGCGGCGGGGAGGGCAGGCGGGCCGCAGGGCCAGGCGCATATGCGCAGTGGGGAAGGGCCAGCGCGGACTGAAGAGCCCTCCCGGGATCTGCCAGCTTCCTCTGCCAAGTTCCCAAAGTGATGTTCTCACGTCAAAGTAAATTTGGGCTAAAACCTCATATTATGGATATTTAAGACGCCACAAAAGCCAGATGCCAGATCTCACCACGTTGTGGTTTAACCAAAATGAGACACATGTGAGCATCAGTGGGAGAGCATAGTGCCAGACTGTTGTGAGGACTGCCAAGTGCCACCCTGCACATGGTGGTGGGGACAGATGGATCTCCTGTCACAGCACCGGAGGGAAACTGTGCCCCAGGCCATGTGCCGCCCCCCCCCCCACCAATCCCGCTGCCTTCCACTCCTCCCCAGCCACCCCCACCCAGGGTCCCCCAGCCCTCTCACGCAGTGATTTGTGTCTCCATGAAGATCAGGATGAGGACCAGCAAGGCGGGGACAGCAGCTGCTACCATCATCCAGGGCGGGAAAGGACGGGCACTGCCCAGGGGCGGGATGAACCACGTGCGCTTATGGGGGGACGTCACTGAGAGCCCTGTGGGCACCGTCAGCTTCTGCATGGCAAGAAGGAAGACGGGGTTCAGGGACACAGCCTCCCCATGCTAAGAACCCCACATAGCAGCTGCTCCCAACAAGCTCTGTGTTCCCAGTACCAGGGCTCCAGGAAACCTGGACGTGAACAGCTTTGAGGGAAATTAGTTTTCCATCTTCCAGAGTCCCTCCAAGGATTTGGTAGAGGACAGAGAATGACATCCTTTCTCCCTGAGCCCCAGGCACACCTGTCATTTGGCCCCCAGCCTCATATCTGCTCACACATAGCCTCAGAAGCCCTGGCTGGCCTCATCCGCTGAACCACTCAGCTGCCCCCAGCCCACCCACCCCAGCATGGTCCCAGCAGGTCACCACTCCACTAAAAAAGCTGAATTCTGCCCATGATCGTAGCCACTGCGGCAACGGGAACGTGTTGTGGCCTCCCTCCCGAGACTCTGGGGTGAGAACCCACCGTTGCAGGGAGGTGGGGCTTGTTCACCTGTGTGTAGGTGTCTGTAATCGAGTAATCCACTAGGACCATCACCAGAATGGAAATGGGGATGCCAAAATCCCCAATGATGCGGCGAGCCTTGAGGGGCCAGTGGGGGAAAGGAGCAAAAGAAGTGAGGGTCAGGAGACTAACATGGGGGATTTCTGGCTCCAGCTCTCTTGGGTCTGATTTTCTGAGCCAGAAATCCCCCAACCTGTCCCTCTAAATCCCATGGGTGCCGCCCAGCTCAAGAGGGCATTCCTGGCCTGATTAAACTTCTCTGAAGTTTCTGACCGGGAAGGGACTGCACAGATGTGCTTTAGGTCCATGGGTTGACCGGGAGAAGGGGAGAGTGCCCCCTCTGGAGGGGAGACTGGCCCTGACGGCAGGAACTCCGGGGAAACCCAGGGGGGCCCGCCTCTCCTCAGCCACGCACCTTGCCTCCCAGGAAGCGGCTGTTCCTGAACTTTCGCAGGAAGAAGGCAATGAGAAAGGTCCCAAGCATGAGGATGAGGGACAGCAGAGCCGTGTTGGGCTGGTTCCTCGGGCCAGGCAGCCCCTCGGTGGGGGGCACAGCACTCCCGTTCAGCTCCAGCCCAGCCTCCAGTGCCCCCTCGGGGGGGTAGAATGGCAGCAATGGGTGCTCCGTGAACACCTGCGTGGGTTACAAGTTTGCCCTAGCAGTCACCTGGGCAGGTCACCCTGATTTTATCACCCTGATTTCATACGGCTGTGAGGGGGAGTGCTGACCCCTCATCACATACCTGACCGGGCAACAGTATCACAGGACGATGAGATACATCACACACACACACACACACACACACGCACACACGGAGCCCCACGGCACTGACCGTGCCCCACACCATCACATACTGGTTGAATCCTGCTAGAGATCTAACCTGCACCCTCTGGGTAGGACTCCCTGCCTGGCAGCTCTGACCTAGCCCAGGGTGTCCTGACCCCCCACGCCCACACCCAGCGGAGCCCTCCTCCTCATCCCCTCTGCTCCCAATGCTCCCTGCCAACCCCTCCCATGCTCCCCTCCCCAGGGTGCTGCCCAGCCCCCACCCATGCCCACCCAAGACCTCTCTGGACCTCCACCTTGTAGAGCTTGTGGAAGGTCTCGTAGATGAAAATAAGCGAGATGAGGAAAGCGAAGATCTCCTGGGTGAAAGGTGAGATATAGCGGACCAGGAAGCTGCCTTCAGCGGCCACCAGGGCAAGGACAAAGACCACCAGCCAGAGGCCAACCCACACCCGGCCGGTGAGGTACTCCAGGTCCTGGGCTCGGCAGAACTAGAGGCCAGGAGGGAGGCTGTGGTTACCCCCAGCGGTCTGCCCTGGACATCGGGCCCCATGGGATGGGCCGGGGTCGGGGCGGAGGGTGAGCTCTAAAGGGAGAGGAGGGGAGAGACTGCAGGGACCCATCACCTGGGCCGAGAGATGGGACATGAGATCCCTGGGGAGGGGCAGGGGAGGGCTGTCACCTTGAAGAAGGCTTCTTCGAAGACCAGCAATGGCCCTGAGAAGCCAACCACAAGCAGCGGCTGGGCCCCCAGCAGGGAGAAGAGGACGCCGAGCACGGCGGTAGACACGATCAGCTCGGACACGCCCATCAGCCCCTCAGTCTTCTCTCCTGGTGCAGGCAAGGGTCAGTGGGAGGGCCCTGGCCTGGCTCCTTCCACCCGGCCCCTCCTCTTCATCTAGCCTACCTTGACCTGGGGACCCAACTAGAACAAAGCAGCCCCACAGAGCAATAGATAGGTCCCGCTCCCCAGCCCCAACCC